AGCACACCATGAATACAGTTTTATTACTCACAGTAAGTGTTCATTAAACACTGCTTAAAGGAAGAAAGGAAGTGGTAAACAACATGAACAGAGAAACAAGCAGACAGGTAAAGATAAAGGGACATGTTTATAGTCACATTCTTTTCGGTGCACAGGATGGGTAGAGGGTGGGAAAGAGCTTCCAAAGCATGATGAGCTAATATTACATTACTATCATGAGTACTAAGTGCTGTGGGTAGGACAGGGTTGGCTGACCTCCCAGAATGAATACACTTTCATTGTGACCAGGATAACAGCTGGGTAACAGATATCATAAGATTGGCTCCAATGTTACCCTGAGGAGTATCTCAGGCTCATGTGCACAACCAACAGTGTGGCTACCACAAACCATGTACGATATGTGGCTGCTGATATTCGTTTCCAAACTTTTACTTTGTCACATGGGCTAACAATCACTTGTGCTGGCAAGGAACATGAAAAGGGTGCTACGTGTATACCAAGTAGCCTCCAAGGGGCTTTTCCCAGGTTCCTCACAGGCATAGTGAGTCTTCTACTCTGAACCTTTGAAATGCCAACATCACTGATGAACAATTGTTCGACGTGCTCCATTCCTGGTCATCTTTAGGTTTTTCTGAGATTTTGCTCTTGAACAACAAGTGCAGATATTTTCTGGATACAGCAGCGGTGACCAAAGCAACAGCACCATTGATGACTAGCAGGCTGATTTTCAGAAGAGTTCCAAGGAATGATCTACTAGGCCTGCCAAAGCACTCAAAAAGTACACAAGAGTGTACAATGCGTAGGGTGACTGCAATGGCTGGCCCAGATTCAAGACCAGAGAAACCAGGTATCCTCATCCAAATATAGGGCCTCTAGAAGGACACTTAGAAATTTAACACTCAAAAAACAATAAAGGGGATATCACCACCGATCTCACAGAAATACAAACTACCATCAGAGATTACTACAAACAACTCTGTACATAAAAAAGTAAACCTGGAAGAAAGAAATGGATAAATTCCAGGACACTTGCACCCTCCCAAGCCTAAATCAGGAAGAAGTCGAAACCCTGAACACACCAATAACAAGGGCTGAAGTTGAACCAGCAATTAATAGCCTATCAACCAAAAAAAAGCCCAGGTCCAGATGGGTTTACAGCTGAATTCTACCAGACATACAAAGAGGATCTGGTACCACTCCCTCTGAAACTATTCCAAACAATACAAAAAGAGGGAATCCTTTCCAAATCATTTTATAAGACCCATTTTATAAGACCATTTTATAAGACCAATTTTATCATCCTGACACCAAAACCTGGCAGAGACTCAACAAGAAAAGAAAACTTCAGGCCAATATCTATGATGAACATAGATGTAAAAATCTTCAATAAAATACTGGCAAACCCATTGCAACAGCACATCAAAAAGCTTATCCATCACAATCAAGTAGGCTTCTTCCAGGGGATGCAAGGCCGGTTCAACAAACCCAAGTCTATAAATGTAATCCACCACATAAGCAGAACCAGAGACAAAAAACACGATTATCTCAATAGATGCACAGAAGGCCTTCGACAAAATTCAACAGCCCATTATGCTAAAAACTCTCAATAAACTAGGTATTGATGGAACGTATCTCAAAATCATAAAAGCTATTTATGACAAACCAACAGCCAATATCATACTGAATGGGCAAAAACTGGAAGCATTCCCTTTGAAATCTGGGACTAGACAAGGATGCCCTCTCTCACCACTCCTATTCAATATAGTACTGGAACTTCTAGCCAGAGCAATCAGGCAAGAAAAATAAATAAAGGGTATTCAAATAGGAAAGGAGGAAGCCAAATTGTCTCTATTTGTGGACGACACGATTGTATATTTAGAAGACCCCATCATCTCAGCCCAAAATGTCCTAATAAGCAACTTCAGCAAAGTCTCAGGATACAAAATCAATGTGCAAAAATCACAAGCATTCCTATACACCAATAACAGACTTAAAGAGAGCCAAAGCAAGAACAAACTGCCATTCACAATTGCTATAAAGAGAATAAAATACCTGGGAATACAACTAACAAAGGATGTGAAGGACCTCTTCAAGGAGAGCTACAAACCACTGCTCAACAAAATAAGAGAGGACACAAACAGATGGAAAAACATTCCATGCTCATGGTTAGGAAGAATCAATATTGTGAAAATGGTCATACTGCCCAAAAAGTAATTTATAGATTCAACACTATCCCCATCAAGCTACCACGACCCTTTCACGTAACTGGAAAAAACCACCTTAAACTTCATATGGAACCAAAAGAGAGCCTGCATAGCCAAGTCAATTCTAAGCAAAAAGAACAAAGCTGGAGGCATCATGCTACCTGACTTCAAACTATACTATAGGGCTACAGTATCAAAACAGCATGGTACTAGTACCAAAACAGAGATATAGACCAATGGAACAGAACAGAGGCCTTGGAGGCAACACCACACATCTACAACCATCTGATCTTTGACAAACCTGACAAAAACAAGCAATGGGGAAAGGATTCCCTGTTTAATAAAAGGTGTTGGGAAAACTGGCTAGCCATGTGCAGAAAGCAGAAACTGGACCCCTTCCTGACACCTTACACTAAAATTAACTCCAGATGAATTAAAGACTTAAACATAAGACCTAACAACATAAAAACCCTAGAAGAAAACCTAGGCAAAACCATTTAGGACATAGGCACAGGCAAAAACCTCATAACTAAAACACCAAAACCATTGGCAACAAAAGCCAAAATAGACAAATGTGATTTAATTAAACTCCAGAGCTTCTGTGCAGCAAAAAAAAAACAGTTTTGGTGAACTGGCAACCAAAAGAATGGGAAAAAAATTTTTGCCATCTAGGCATCTGACAAAGGGCTAATATCCAGAATCTACAAAGAACTAAAACAGATTTACAAGAGAAAAACAAGCCCATTCAAAAGTGGGTGAAGGATATGAACAGACACTTTTCAAAAGATGACATTTATGAGGCCAAAAACATAAAAAATGCTCATCATTAGAGAAATGCAAATCAAAACCACATTGAGATACTATCTCACACCAGTTAGAATGGTGATCATTAAAAAAATCTGGAGACAACAGATGTGGGAGAGGATATGGAGAAATAGGACCGCTTCTACACTATTGGTGGGAGTGTAAATTAGTTCAACCATTGTGGAAGACAGTGTGGTGATTCCTCAAGGACCTAGAAATAGAAATTCCATTTGACCCAGCAATCCCATTACTGAGTAAATATCCAAAGGATTATTATAAAGACACATGCAAATGTATGTTGATTGCAGCACTGTTTACAATAGCAAAGACCTAGAACCAACCCAAATGCCCATTGATGATAGACTGGACAAGAAAAATGTGGCACATATACACCATGGAATACTATGCAGCCATAAAAAACAATGAGTTTGTGTCCTTTGTAGGGACATGGATGAATCTGGAAACCATCATTCTCAGCAAACTGACACAAGAACAGAAAACCAAACACTGCATGTTCTCACTCATAGGTGGGTATTGAGCAATGAGAACACATGGACACAGGGAGCCGAGCATCACACACTGGGGTCTGTTGCAGGGGAATAGGGGAGGGACAGCAGGGGTAGGGAGGTTGGGGAGGCATAACATGGGGAGAAATACCAGATATAGGTGACAGGGGGGATGGAGGCAGCAAACCACATTGCCATGTATGTACCTATGCAACAATCCTGCACGTTCTGCACATTTACCCCAGAACCTAAAGTGCAATAAAATATATATTTTAAAAAAAAAAAGGAAATTCAACACTCAATCGCAATGTCATGTGGTAAGTTATATGACAGGGCTTTTAACTGAATGCTGCAGGGACACACAGAGGAGATAATAAGCCAAGCAGTAGGGGAAGACGCGGTATCAGGAGAAATGATTCCTGAAAAAGGTGGACTCTGAACTGAACCTGGAGATGTTGAGTTATGTGGGCAAAAAGCATTCTAGGAAAGAGGCACAGAACATACAGAGACTCGAAAGAGTTGGATGGCACCGTTTGCAGAGAACTGCAAGTAATTCTACATGGCTGGAGAAAATGGTGTGAAGGGAAAATGAGATGACAGAGGCACAGCCAGGGGTCTTAGGAAGGAACTTTGTAAAATAAGAATCAAGAAATTTACACTTTATCTTGAAGATGAAGGGAAACCACCGAAGACATTTTAAGCAAGCAGTGCCGTAGTAAAATCAGCATTAAAAAAACCTGTGGCAGCAGCGTGGAGAACAGACTGGAGGGGAACAAAAGTCAAGAAGACAGGCGAACAAGTGAAGTCATTCTTGTGGAGGAGGATGGTGGCCTAAGGAAGCAGCACTCAGAACGGAGGGAAGATGTGTCAGACACAGCAAAGAGCTCTGGAGAGAACTCTCAGGACTTCTTCTCTGATTTATATGAAGGTGAGAAAAAGAAAGAACCAAGCATGACTCCTAGGCTGCAAGCTTGGATGTCTAAATGGAAAGACCTGCTGTTCACAGAGATAAAGAATAAGTCAACTCATATTGGAAAGTGTAAAAAACAATGATACTGCACTAAATTTCAAAAAATTAACACAAAGGCAGAGGCTGCCCCAGATAGTATGGATACGTATCTCCAAGATCAATGAAAAACTTAAATTCAGAGAGAAGTCAGCGTTAAAGAAATTTCCGTCTAACATATGTTGATGAGTGAATAATCAAAGAATAAAACAGAAGGCAATTCACTAACAAGAGAGCCATCTACTGCCTTATAAGCATAGTGCAGCAATGAAATGCCACCAAAAAAAAAAAAAAAAGTGGAAGAAAGCCAGGCATCTTTGACCACTTCACATTGAACATGTTTTTACAAAGTTATCTGGTTCCTCCCACAAAAAAATTCCAAGTGGTTAACATGTTTAATAGCTAAATGCTTTCACGTAATTAATTTCTCCTGAAAACATCAATCCAGTAGAAAACATCGTATGAATATAAAACACTTACCTGCCATCATTGCTATCATACTGGCTTTGTAGACATTAGTAAGAGATCCAAGTTCTCCTGTTGCTAATATAGTTTTAAGATGAGCCTCTCCACAGGCCTTGCGAAACTGACGAATCTCATCATACAGGGCTGGGGAAGAATATAATTGAGGCAGTTACAAAGCAGGCAAGTGATAACATAACTTGGCAGCCGTTTAGCGCTGGTAGAACCCATGTCACATTTAGGAAACATAAAACATTTGTCACTTTCTAAAAATCACCCCAATTTAACATTGCCTGGAGCATTCTGTTGCAGTTCACATCCTGTTACAAGGAATGCTTCGTTTGCTACCGTGAAACCGTTTCTTAGCCCTGGCCTGAGGTCCAGAGACATAGAGCTTTCTAAATATCATGATAATGACATGCAAATTATAAATAATTTCTGTCTTGTCCATATGATGCTTGCTTCCCACAAAAAACAAATGTAGCTACCATACGTACAGTGGTGTACCACTTTGCAAAGTAATAAAAAAAAAATCTTAGGTTCTTATTAATTCTTCCATTCATAAGTAATAGGTTCTTTGTTTGAAATATAATAAAGGACATCTTTCTTGGGTTATGTTAAGGAAACGAAAGACATGCCAGCTTGCCCCACTACCTGCCAGAGTGTGTCTAGATATCTGACTAAGAAGTGTTGGGCCTGGCCAGGTAGTGTTGGACACATGTGCACAAAGCCATCTTTAGGGAAGCTCGGAGATGCTGCCTTGAATCTGATATCCCCTGACCCCATGACCCCAGTACCACATCTGGCTTTGGAGGGTTCCCCATTGTGCCCAGATTTACTTCATATTCAAGGTAACAATTTATATGAAAGGTAACAAGATTTTAGTAAGTAAATTAGACCAAAATCATGGGTATTAAATTTTTAAAATGACTTAAGTCTTTTGTCAATGACACCAGTGAATTCCGGCTTTTACCTTGTATCAGGCTGGCCACTCTCCTTTCTTAAACTCAGGCTACTGCTATGGTATCAGGACAAAGGCTTTTTCTTTCCTTTGTATTTGAGTATCTTTCACTAGGAAGTGGTTTTTTAGGTTTGGTTTAGTTTAGTTTTGTTTTTTGGACAGAGTCTCACTCTTTCAGCAGGCGCCAGGCTGGAGTGCAGTGGTGCAATCTCAGCTCACTGCAACCTCCACCTCCCAGCTTCAAGCAATTCTCCTGCCTCAGCCTCCTGAGTAGCTGGGACTATAGGCATGTGCCACCACGCCCAGCTAATTGTTGTATTTTAGTTAGAGACGGGGTTCCATTATGTTGGCCAGGATGGTCTCCATGTCTTGACCTTATGATCCACCCGCCTAAGCCTCCCAAAGTGCTGGGATTACAGGCATGAGCCACTGCGCCCAGCCGGAAGTAGTTTTATGAGCACAAACCAAGCAGAAGGGAAACATTCACAGTAAGGGTTGGGTAACTATTTCTTAAAGCTAAAATGAGACTTCTATAATGCATAGGTTGACCAAAGTCCATTAACAAGATGCATAATTAGCCTCGGTTAGCAAACTCAGTTAAAACCACAAGAGCTGTAACAACCAAATAAAACTTGCCTTTTCAATCCTAGAAAACATGAACTTAACTTCAAGCTCAGAAGTGAAAAATGAAGAGAAATGAAAGCAAATATTCTATTCCAAGATGCTCAGTAAGTTTAGAGAGTTTGTTACCACTGAGAGACGGAACCCATAGAAGGTTCTTCAATAAAGAACAGACGATTTTCACACATCCTTAGTAACGTGCAGTTCTGAGTACTAGGGATGATCTGAGATGCCACACTACCTACCTTACCCTGCCCGTCCACCTAACCTGGGAGAAAATCATCCTACTTATGCCTGCCGCCAATATGACATCCTGTGTAAGAATGTTAGAAATAGCAATAGACTATATAGCAATAAAAATTTATATTCTTTTAACTCAGAGAATGAACTGGATGGCATGACATTTCTTGAGTTACTGAATCTAAAAAAAGAAACTTGTTCTGTAAGAACAAGTGACAAGGAAATCTCCTGATCTAAAAATCCAAGAATGCTAATCCAAGTTAACTTGTGATTTAATTAATGATTTTCTTCCACAATACAGTGTTGCCATTAAAAGCAGGATTTAGAGTCAGACAAACACAGATTTAAAACCCAACTCCATCATTTCCTGTGGGACTTTAGGCAAGTTTATTTCTCTCTGTATCAGTTCCATCCTTAAAGTATCAATAATATTTACTTTACAGAGTTAGTGGGATTAAGAGAGAAAGATACAAAGTACTCTGCATACTGCCTGACATTATAAGCACTCAAAAAGTTTAATTATATTAAGTTCAGAATTCTAGTGAAATGAACTTCCATTAAGTGTTATGTTCTAAAAGTTAAATCCTATTTCATGGCCTGACCCACTTCCTTGTACTGAACCAAAGTTCTGTTGTATGGATTAGTGCTTATAATCAGAGCCATCAGACAAGGCTTGAAAGTATTTTATTACAGCAGTTGTTAAAGTGAACTTTGGCCTGTAAAATTCTTAAAACACTGATCGCAACTATATTTGTGAACAAACAAACCACCATCCTTTTTCTAGAGTACTACCTTCTGATGCCCAGTGAATTTCCTGAAGTATAGTTAAAATTAACCAGGAAAACCAGAGGTATTTTATGACTCAGTCATTTGAAAGCTATGCTCTTTAATCCATGATCCAAACAAAATGAGTCAAAAGTGGTCACTTAGAGCCTAACTGGATTTACAAATACACAACCAATGCCTTCTCATTCTTCAACTGCCAATTTCTAAAATCATTTTACTGATCTATTTTACTACATAACAGAAGAAAGTTTTTCTGAGAAAACATCTTAATCCTTAAGGTTCAATGGGTAGGAAGTTGTCATTTCTTGCTGTTACACGCCCAAAATATACTAGAACAATTAAATCAAAAATTATACCAAATCTGGTCTTTTTTTTTTCTTTTTTTTTGAGACAGAGTCTCATTTTGTCACCAGGCTGGAGTGCAGTGGCATAATCTTGGCTCACTGCAACCTCCACTTTTCAGGTTCAAGTGATTCTCCTGCCTCAGCCTCCCGAGTAGCTGGGACTACAGGTAAGCGCCACCATGCCCCAGCTAATTTTTGTGTTTTTAGTAGAGACGGTGTTTCACCAGGTTGGCCAGGATGGTCTCAATCTCTTGACCTCATGATCTGTCCACCTTGTCATCCCAAACTGCTGGGACTATAGGGGTGAGCCACTGCACCTGGCCCCAAATCTGGTCTTTTTTAAAATGGGACCTGGCTCTATCAAGGAATTGCTTCTACCCAGGTCTTTGAATCTTAAGAGTCAGGCAGAAATGAAAGAATAGATGTTTTCTTCATTATTGCGGCATCAGCAATAGCAGGAGATCCAAAAGTCCGGGGTCCCAAGGGCCGGCCACCAGTCAACAGTGTGGTACCTGTACTGGCCGGCAGGAGCAGCACCAGCAATGGCCCTAGGACCGAACTCTTCCTGTGGTACAATCTGGCTGTGTACCTCTCCGCTCCTTATTCTCTCACGGCCCTGCTTTTTTTCCAAGCAAGTCTTCATGCTTATTCAGTGAGTGCCTTTATGTCTTCCTGATAAATCCCCTTCAGCTTAACTTACTCAGAATTAGTTTTATTCATTTCCAACTCATGAATGATTGACTGAAGAAGTATGGTATTATAGACAACAACGCAGGTTATCCTGAGCACATGGATCCACACCTCAGCTCTCTTTATTGCTAGATTTGGGTTACTTAGCTGTAAACGTGTGTCCCATGTTTGTCATTTACAGAATAGAAATGATAGAAGTATGCACACCTCGTGGAGTTATTTTGAGCATCAAACGGGTTAATATACACAAATTGTTAAAAACAATATCCAGTACACGGTTCATGCTCAAAGAATGTCAGTTTCCTGTTTTCAGAGCTGGTGGTAGCGGTGATGGCTTTACTGTCATTACTCAGTACTTACCAGGCGCAGATTACAGAGGGACTTACGAAAGCAGAGGACATCGTGATCTATGTTCCTTAGAGAAGATAAAATAAAACCTCTTTGGGGCCCTAAAAAAACAGTCTGGGGGGAAAAGTTTACTATATATTGCAGACAAGTTTGTTTTCAAGATAAGAACCCATGCCACTTTGAATAGTGCAGACTTTTGAGATACGACAGTTTTTGCTACTCGCTAGTTGTGTAAACATTTAGGAATTATTCAATTTCTCTAAGCCTAATAACTTAGGGAGGCTCGGTTTGCTCACATATTTTTGTGACGATTAAATAATACATGTGGCTAGAACAGAACCAGGCATTTAGTAGGCATTTCATCATTTAATACCAGCTTCCCGTATTTTTCCTTATACACTTCCAGAAACCCAAAAATAACTTTTACGGACAAAAACGAAAACAAGCACTGACCCAATGCTTATGAAAGCACAACTAGAATTTGCAGACTTTACATATAAGAAAACATAGACCACTTCACTCTAACACAAACCAGAGAAACCACAAAGAAGCGTTATTAGTGTTCTGGTCGTTTTGAGCACGTTGACGGTACCATGATAGACACCTTGGAAACTAGATGAATGACATACGCCAATCAAAGCGGCTTGATGACTGAAATGTAACCTAGTCAATCTCAGATTATGTCCTTTAACAAACTCAGCTGGCACTTTCCTTTCAATATAAATGAGCCACACAATGGACAGACGAACGGGTAGGTTTTACCCTATGTTGGTAGGAAAGGACAACAGTGGCGTATGGAGTTATTTTAACTGCTGCTGGACCACACACGCAGACAAAATTACACGTGAAGTCATAAGTTCAACACATGCCCTTTCCAAAAATTTTTTCATGAGAAGTAATTACTCTAAAGGATGAGAAATCCCCTAGGTTTTCAAAGCTTCTTCCCTCAAAAATTACTCAGGGTTCTCTGTACACCATCTGACTGTCCCTTGTGAGATAGTTTGCAGTTACCTCTACATTTCCCACGTGAAAAGTGAGATGTGGGCCGGGCGTGGTGGCTCACACCTGTAATCCCAGCACTTTGGGAGGCCGAGGCAGGTGGATCACCTGAGGTCAGGAGTTCGAGACCAGCCTGGCCAACCTGGTGAAATCCCATC